GTTTTCAGCCTTGGTCAAAAGTGTCCCAACTGAAAAGGTTTGAAAACCTTAAGGTGTGAACCATAATCTCCAAAGAGAGAATTGGTGAGTTGGAAAGTGGTGTTGAAGAGTTTATCCAGAATGTAGCCTATAAAGACAAGGTTATAAAAAATATATAAGAAATTCATAATTGTGGGTGAAAAACTTAGTAAATCTAATGTACATCTAATTGGAATCCTTGGGGGAGGGGAATAGAATATGGGAAAGGCAATGTTGAAAGGAATAGTGGCTGAGAATTTTCCATAATTGATGAGACATAAGCCTGCAGATATAGAAAGCACGATATGTATCATCAAGTAGAGTATTACAACCGCAGAACATGAGAGGCATAGAGAAAATAGATAAAAGGAAGATCTTTCTACAAAGGAATGATGGACAATGATGGACAACATTAGTAACAACAATGGAAGCCAAAATACAGTGGAATGATATTTTCAAAGCTGAGATGAACGTGTGAACCCATAGTTATTTGCCCAGAAAAGCTTTTTTTCAAGAATGAGGATATAATAAAGAAAATTTTTGGTAAAATTGACGGTGTTGATTACCAGGAAACTTTGATTACGTAATTTCTAAAAGGATATACATCAGGAAGATGGAAAATGACCTTAGAATGAGGGTCCAAAATGCATTAGTAAAGGTGAACAAAGAAAATCTTTGGTAGGTTGGAAAGTGTATTTTTTTTTTACTTTTATGGCCTCTGCAGTTGTCAGAAGTGTTGTTGGTCAGTCCATCAGTCATGTCCAACTCTTTGTAACCTCTGCAGCATGCCAGACTTCCCTGTCCTTCACTATCTCCTGGAGTTTGCTTAAACTCATGTCCATTGAATCAGGGATGCCATCCAACCATCTTATTCTCTGTGTCATCCCCTTCTCCTCTTGCCCTCAATCTTTCCCAGCATCGGGGTCTTTTCCAGTGAGTCAGCCCTTCGTATCAGGTGGCCAGAGTATTGGAGCTTCAGCTTCAACATCAGTCCTTCAATGAATATTCAGGGTTGATTTCCTTTAGGATTGACTGGTTTGATCTCCTTGCTGTCCAAGGGACTGTCAAGAGCCCTCTCTAAAGTGTTGTATTGTACAGTACTTTGAGGAAGTAAAGTGTAGTTCCAAAGGTACAGTGTAACTTACTTTGAACTTCCCAGAATCCATTCACTTTTTTGTTTTGAAGCTGCATTGCTATATGGGGAATTGATCCCAGATTCACTGCTGGACCCTCATTGACCTAACCTAGTTATAACAGTCCCATTCTCCTTGCTAATTCAGTTGACTTAGGAACCAGGCCTAATTCATTTAACTGGTGGCTGTTTTCTTTATCAATTATTGATTCAGATGTGGCCATGTGACTGAAGTTGGCTTACTTAGACTAAACGAAAAAATTATTTTTTTGATTGGAGAAAGGCACATACTGGGTGAATCTAGATTGCTTGTCCTTGTGGTAAAAGAAATGTGCCTTCATGTGAAGTCAACAATAGGAATAGCTTTGTGAGAAAGGAGAAAAACAGTAAGGAAATTTGATCTCCAATGACTTCAGTGTATTACTACTTAAGTGTGTTACTGCTTTACCCAGCCCTAAAGTTTACCCTATTTCTAGACTTCATTTTTATGGGGCTTCTGTGGTAACTCAGTGGGTTAAGAATCTGCCTGCAATGCAGGAGACCTGTGTTCGATCCCTGGATTGGGAAGATCCCCTGGAGAAGGAGATGGCAACCCACTCCAGGATTCTTGCCTGGAAAATCCTGTGGACAGAGGATCCTGGCAGGCTATATACAGTCCATGGAGTTGCAAAGAGTTGGACATGACTGAGCGACACACAGGCTTCATTATATGTGAAGTTGTAGTTTACATTTATATAGCTTTTAAAATTATAATTTATTTAAACTCCACCCAAAACACCTCTCCCTCCTCCAAACACCTTTCCCCCCAAAAAAGTTCATTATTACAGGAATAATTTCAGTTTTATACTGGGAGAGGTAGAAGCTATATACCCAATACTACTCTGGCAAGACTAAATTAATTTTAGTTATCATATTTTATTGAAGCAACATTGTGAGATTAGTGTGCTCAGAGAAAATGACAGAGTAGTGAAGGGTATGAAAATATGAAATGTTAACATATGATAAGTGTGAAGAGTATTTTTGCCCTGATATAAGAAGATATTGAAAAGATTTAGTAACAATGTGGAAATATTTAAATAGCTATCATGTGGAAGAATTACTAGATTCGTTTTACATGATTGTAGAGGTCAAAAGTAGTTCCAATCAGTAGATATTCTGGAGAGGTATCAATATAAGAAAGTTTTGATCAATACATGAAATAATTTTCTAATGTTTAGAACTATCTAAAAATGGGAGCAAAGAATGCAGCAGTGGAGAACTATCAGTGGAGTCCTTGGGAGTAACTTTTCTCCCCTGAAATTCTTCTAATAGAAGACTTGCACAACTACACAGAATTTAGGAAAAAATTTTCTACATGGGGTATGAGGTTGAATTATATTACTTCAAGGACCCCTATATTTTATTATTATGGTTGCTAATCACTTACTACATTAATAATATTGTCTTTCTGTTCTGTTAGCCTCAACACTTCTTTCCAAATAATAATCTTGTTAATGGTTTCTTACTAGCTAGAAATAAAATTTGTAACAAATATAACCTGTCCATACATATAATGTTTAAGGAATAAATATGAGTGATATAAAGTAGAAATAAAGTGAAAGTAAAAGTTCACAATTATTTACCGCATTTCTGAAATGTAAAAGACTTTTATTAAAAGAAGCATTTTTCCTAAGTTAGACTTAATAAGTAAAGACTTATTTGGCAACAAAACCAGATCTTAATTGATAAAAAGCTTATTATATAGCCTTTATCCAGTTGGTGAATTTACATGTTTTGCTGCAAAAATAACTGAATGTTTGATCACAGGTTGCTTCTCCAGACCCTTTTGGCATTGTTACTTAATATATTTTGAAATTCGAATAATTCTGAATTCATAAAATATCTCATCTCATGGGTATTGGTTAAAATATTGCGGTTCTTTAACAAATATTTCAACATGTACATGTTCCAGAATGATTAATTTAAAATATATAATAATCAAATGGTTGTACTTGTAATTAATATATTTGCATTTAAGAGCAGTAAGATGACAAACCGTTCTATTCAAGAAATGCAAGAAGGTGATAGAGCAAACCATTCTGTACTACATGAAACAAGTAATGGCAGACCCTTTACATTTGAATATGATAAGAGGAAAGAAATAATTTTATTTTACAAGGAATAACATGCCTAACAAGTTATACACTGTTGTTTGAAGAGGAAAAAATGAGGAAATACAACGTTTTAATAGATGACCTGAGCCTTAGGTATTATCAAAATTGTTTCCTCTGTTATGGTTTGAGGTGAGCTCAATTGATCAGTCATGTCCAACTCTTTGCGACCTCATGGACTGTAGACCACCAGGCTCCTCTGTCCATAGGATTTTGATTTGAGGTGAGATAGTGACAAAGTTTTGGGCAAGAGTATATCTCCTAACTTGAAATTCTACCACATATTGAAGCCTACACTAGTACTTAATAATAGTTATATATGATCACTGGGGACAGTATTATTAGAGTCATACTGGAAAACAATAGGTAGTGCAAAAATTGTATAATTTCAATGTGTAGGGTAAATTTTATTAAATATTTGCATAAATATATGTATATACACACATTTGTATGTGGGTTTAATTCACAGAACATTCAAAAGTTGCATGGCATATAGAATAATTCTTCATTAATATTCCACAGAATATATTTTAAGAGTAAAAATAGATGGTGTTCCTTTTTCTCCTTTTGTCTCACATACAAATAGGAGTGCATTTATTTTTTCCTTTTTTTGATCTTTCACCATTTTGTCATGACTGATTCTATTATATAGTCTCTTAATATTTGTCAGCCTCTGTTGTATCAGCAACTGTATATGTCATTTAGCAGGTAATACTTAAAACATGACTTCCTACCTAGATAAGTAAAATTTAGGGGCAATTATATACTAGAGTTCTTTAAAAAGAAGACAAAGATAAGTTAATTTGTGTTGTAAGCAGCCAAATTTTGTGTCTGGTAATGCTCGGAAAGAACTTTCGGCACTTAATATCCTTGTGTATTAGTGTCTTTCATAGTCAAGATTTAGTGTTAATAAAAGTGAGACACTGTGGTGGGAAGGTAAGAGTTCCATGACACAGATTGTGTGTTCTTTCCACTTAGTCAAATGTGGTTTAGAGCTTTCATCTTATATAATAGGATACTTCATTAAATTTTACAAGCTGCATTACTATTATCCTGTTTTGTGTATAGGCTACTGTTATACCTGGAATGAAATGTTAAACTTTCTGGCTTTGGGGATGCAATATAAAGATAACTTTTCTAAATATTTTAGTTACCACACCAAAATAGAGAAAATCCCCTCTTTTAAGGCATTTATAAAATTATTAGATGAGTTTGGATTTTCCTTTAGGTGTCTTTAAATGCTCATTTGTTAGTAATATATAATGCGTCCTGGATCAGCAGGTATTTTTGAGAATCTACTGTGAACAGTGTAACCTTTTTCTAGTTGTTTTAAAATATAACCACAGTTCTTCCTGTTGTATTTGATCCATTTTAAACTTTACCCCCGTAATGTTCATGTAGAAACTGAATATGTAGTATACTATCAAATGCATATTAAGGTATTTGATTTTCATTGTATCTTTTAAAAACTTAAACTTCATACATTTGCTGTTTTTTAGTAAAATAGATAATAGTACAGTCTTTTCATTGTAGTGATACTCTAGAATTTGTTACTTCCTCCACTTAGTGGATGAGTGTTTGCAAAACTGATTCTTTAATGAAACAGGGATGAAGTTAAAAATATTCTGTATTATAGTAACTACCTCTTGTAGTTTTTATAAATGTAATAACCCATATGTATGTATGTATGTACTTTTTAGAAAGAATCTTCAAGAGGGAGACATAGGGAAAAGGAAGACATAAAAATCACTAAGGAGAGAACTCCAGAAAGTGAAGAAGAAAATGTAGAATGGGAAACTAATAGAGATGGTGAGTTTCAAAACTCTTTTGTTTATATAGTTAGTGTATTGATTGTTCACTTTGTAGGCTTTTCTGTGGGCTTCAAAACACTTTCCAGCCGTGATCTCCCTATTGTTTCAGAATCTAATTGACCTGTATGTCTTACTGAGTTATAAGGCCGGAAATGGCATGTAGCTGAATAAAAGCTAAGAAAGCTGTTCTGTCCAGAACTTACCTGTTCAGCATCATGCTACTTTGAAATTTGTTGCACTTGTAAATATTTAACTTCCCTCAGTATCAAGGTTTAAGAGAATTGACATTTATGTTTATTGTTTTGCATAAAATATTAAAAGTGAGATTTTTAAACCTTAAAGACCTAGGAAGATTATTTCCAAGAAATTGTTGGATTTCATCTTTCAAGAAAGTGATATCAGATGATAACTGGGGGATTAGTTCATGAAATATTAGGAAAATCACTTTTAAGTCATTGTCTTTTAACAAATAAGCATTTATTTTTCACACCATGAGTGTTCTGTCTTCTCTACTTTTGTGATCTAGAAGTTGAGCACTATAGTCTCACACTACAAATACAGAAAGAGGGAACTCACATCTGTAGATACACTAGGCATTTTAATATAATTTATATAATTATTTTAGTTATTCAGCTTTGTTACTCTACTATACTTGACAAAACTAAAGACTTTAAGAATGTAACTTACTTCTTCATCAGATAGCCGAAAACTTAGACCAGGGGATAGAAAATTATAGCTTGTGGGCCAGACACCTATTTTTGCAGTAGAATTTTATTGGAGAATAGCCATGTCCATTGGTTACGTATTTTCTGTGACTGCTTTTGAGCTGTGGTAGATGAGTTGAGTCTCTTGGCGACAGCCAAGAGACTGCAAGCATAAACTATTTACTACAATGTTTAAGAAATATCCCTGAAAACTTATAGACTAATACTTGAAAATTACCTTAAGAGTTCAGTTCAGTTCAGTTGCTCAGTCGTGTCCAATTCTTTGTGACCCCATGAACCACAGTATGCCAGGCCTCCCTGTCCATCACCAACTCCCAGAGTTCACCCAAACCCATGTCCATCGAGTCAGTGATGTCATCCAGCCATCTCATCCTCTGTCGTCCCCTTCTCCTCCTCCCATGAAGTGATGGGACCAGATGCCATGATCTTAGTTTTCTGAATGTTGAGCTTTAGGCCAGCTTTTTCACTCTCCTCTTTCACTTTAATCAAGAGGCTTTTTAGTTCATCTTCACTTTCTGCCATGAGGGTGGTGTCATCTGCATATCTGATATTATTGATATTTCTCCCAGCAAACTTGATTCCAGCTTGTGCTTCTTCCAGCCCAGTGTTTCTCATGATGTACTCTGCATAGAAGTTAAATAAACGGAGTAACAATATTAAAACTCATAGGTTCTGATTATTGTAAATCACTATGGTTTAAAAGTTTCTGTTTGAAGAAATATTGAAGCATAGAATTAGAGAGTGAGACTGAACTCATTTAATATGCTTACCCTGTGCATTTTCAATCTAAATAGCAATTTTAGCTAAACTCTGCAGAAGTTTGGTCTGTATGCGTAGTTCTCAAACATTTCAGTCTCAGGACACTTTTCACTCTTTTTAAGGACCCTGGAGAGCTTTTCTTTTTGTGGATTATCTGCTTCAGTAGTTTCCATTTTAGAAGTTAGGTCTGAGGAAATTTTTAAATTTAAATTTCTTAAACAGTGACAGTAGTAAATCTAGCATACAGTTTTATGGAAAACAGCCATGCTTTGCAAAAGCAAAAATAAAAATTGGAGGAGGTGGCAATATTTTAGATGTTTTTGCAAATCGTTTTAACTTCTTGAAGTAAACTTAACTACCTTAATGAAAGATACCTAGATTTTTGTGTCTGCTTCTGCATTCAGTTTGTTAATGGTATTACATATCATGTGACATCTGGAAAATGCCACTATATACTCTAGAGATTGAGTAAACCAGGCAAATAATGTAGAATTATGGAAATACTTTTGATCTTCTGGAACTCCAGAAATTGTCTTGGAGATCTCAGGGAGTCCTCATACTGCTCTTTGAGACCCACTTGTCTTTAGAAGCTGCTTTAAAAACTTCTAGTTGTTTCCCCTTCCCACTTCCCAAGACTTTTTTTTCCCCCTCACTATCAGTTTTTCTCCCTAGATGAAATCATGCTCCCAGGGCATCATTAACATCTACTTATTAATGATTCCCAATATGTAGAGCTCTTAATTGAGGCATTACCAGTTGGATATCTCTACCTGAGTTCCATATTTTAAAGGCATCAGTTTTCCTACTGGTTTCCCGAAAAGTCTAAGGGTCAGTGTTGAGACTCCTTCCGCTCAACCCAGACACTTAACATAAATCTCAACATTTGTATCTGTTGAGTGTCTTTCAAAACCACCTGTTTCTCTAAATTACTACTACTAATATTCTAGTTCTTAAGATACTTATTTGTTGCCTATAAGTGTGTTTTACAAATAATTCTCTAACCTCATGCGTTGAGGTTAGTCTTGTCTCCTAAATCATTCTCTGCTTGAACCCCAGACTGATCTTCACAAAAGATTTTCTTTTATTAAAGTATAATAGTAACTTTCAGAAGAGTACATGATTCATGTGTACAACTTACTGAATTTTCACCAATAGAACAGGCTTGTATAAGCAGCACACATCAATACATAGAAAATTACTCGTGTCCCATAAGCCCCTTCATACTCCCTTTTCTCAGTCACTACTTTCCCAACCTTTACCTCCTGAGGGTACCTGCTGTCTGATTTTTACCACAATGGGTTACTTTTGTCTGTTTCTGACATCTACATAAATGAAATCTTTTGCATGTACTCTTTCTGTGCTTAGCCAAAACAATATGTTTGTAAGATTTTTGAACATAGTTATAGTTCATTAATTCTTATTAGTATATAGTAGTTCATTGTACAGAGAAGGCCATAGCACCCCACTCCAGTACTCTTGCCTGGAAAATCCCATGGACGGAGGAGCCTGGTAGGCTGCAGTCCATGGGGTCGCTAAGAGTCGGACATGACTGAAGCACAGAGCATGTTCTTTATATAGTCTGAATATGAAATCTCTTAATCAGTATACCTATTATAAATATCTTCTCTCTGTGAGTTAGAGTGAACTTCTAAAAGAATAAATTAGTTCATTTCACTCCCCTATTTAAAATTCTCTGATTTCCCATTGCCTATAGGATCCAGTATAGATTGTTATGTACCTATAAAGCTTTTCATCATCCCCACTTGTTTTATGTATTTCCAGCTCCCATTCCCTAGGTCTTTCTTTTTTGTTTGGTTCTTAAACTGACCATATTTGTTTACCACAAAGACCAATGCAGTAATATAAAAAGCAAAAGCGCCATTGTAGTAGAAGAGAAAATGTATGAACATATTTGGGAAATCTTGGAGGTATGTACATTCTTCTAAAATAAGCATAAAATCCAGAATCCATAAAAGATTTGATTATATAAGGATTTAAAATTTTGTACCTAACTAAACATAGAAGTCATCTATTAAAAATAGATCGCTAAAAGAAAATACTTGACATGTGTCATGTGTAAGCATATAGTAAAAACACTGTATAAACATATAATGAACTTCCACAAATACATAAGAAAAGGAGTTCAGTTGAAAAATGGGCAAAAAATTAAAAAATTGGGTATGTAATGCATAGTGGAAATAGAAATGGCCAGTAAATGCTCAGCTTTACTATAGGGAAATATCAATGAAAATAAAGAGATAACATTCTTCACCCATCATACTGGAAGAAGTGAAAAATACTAATATTATCAAGTGGAAGTTTACTTTGGTAAATCTGTTTCTGAGTATGAAAGCGAAAGTGTGGTCTCTTAGTCATGTCCGACTCTTTATGACCCCATGGACTGTAGCCTGCCAGGCTGCTATGTCCATAGAATTCTCCAGGCAAGAATACTGGATTAGGTTGCCATTCCCTTCTCCAGGGGATCTTCCTGACCCAGGGATCAAACTAAGGTCTCCCACATTGCAGATAGATTCTTTACCGTCTGAGCCACCAGGGAAGCCCCCAAAATTTCTGAGTATAGTTTGGCAATATTATAAAAATATAATATAAATTATATTAACATAAACATTAATATCAAATTCTGAGTATATTTGGCAATATACTACTACTTGGCAATAGTATAGTTTGTCAGGGAAAAAAAATATTGTTTGCCAAACAAACAAGTATAGTTTGGCAAATTAAAAATTATACTTACTCCAGCAAATTTAATTTGAGAAATCTGTTCTGAAAAGAAAATACTTGCACTTGTAAACCAAGGTAGGTGTCACAATGTTCATTGAAGTCTTATTTATAACAGCAAAATATTGAAAACAAACTAACTCTCAGAAGGAAAATGGTTAAATAAACTATGATATATTCATATCATGAAATGTGTTGCAGATGTTAAAATAAAGTTGTTTGACCTTGTGTATGACATGGAGAGATCTTTCTGTGGGGCAGTATAGAAGACTATACATTTAAAGCTTTATTTTTATATCTATTATTAATTGCAATAGATTTCTAAAAGTAAAATTGTCATATTAAAGGATATGAATGTTCTTAAGGTTTTTACTCATGGCTGCCAAATTATTGTCCAGGCTGGATGTATTAGTTTCCATCGCTACCTCCAGAGAATGAACATACCTTTTATCTGTACCTTTGCCAGTACCAAGTATTACCATTAAGGGAAAAAATGACTCTTTAATACATGAAAAAGACTTATTTATCTATTGCCTGCATTTCTTTTTATGAATTGCCTGTTCATGTCCTTTGACCATTTTTCCTTTTAATTAGTAGGAATTCTTTATATATAAAGAATGTCAGTGATGTCCATATTTTTGTCCTTTAAGCAATCAAGTAGGACTCCTTTATCTTTTTTGTTTTTTAGTTCTTCACTTTATTTACCCCAGGTTAAGAAATGATGATCTTAAGTTCTAAAAGTGTGATTTGAGAAGGCTCTTCAGTTTATAAGTGGTCAGTCCCATTGTGGTCAGGTGTTAGGATAGCAGTCAGTGAAATTTCCTTCTCTAGGCCTGTTGACATTAATAACAAAGAGAGAACGGTGCCAGCTGGCTCTGAAAACATCTATATGCATTTGTAATGAAATAGTCTGCACATCACTCTTCCTTGTCTTCCCCTCTTTAACCTTCATATTCTTTTCTTTGAAAGGGTAAATAGAAATAGTACATGGTATCAGATCTGTTGACGAGATGGACAGTTCTAATCTAAGGAACTGCTACAAACCATTTATAATGAAAATGTTATAGATCATTCAGAAATGAGCTCATGTACACATTAGTATTAAAATTACTTTTAGTAATGATATTAATTAAAAAGCAAAACTACAGAAACAGTATTGTACATTTAATGTAACCTTAATACTAATGAGTCTTTAAGAAAAGCAGGGAGATAATGAATCACATCATATTAAAGGTTTTGGTAGCCTTAATACTTAGAATTTGTAGCTGAGTATCTTTTAAAACTTCCATCTAACCAAAAAGCCAACCCCCAAACAACCCAAAATGACTTAAAGAAAACCAAGAACCTTAAGACTGGTTTTTCATAAAGAAATTAGCTGTATCAATTTTAATTGTTTATAGATACAGCATGCTGCTGTGCTTTGTCATTCAGTCGTGTGTGACTCTTTGTGACCCCATGGACTGTAGCCCACCAGGTTCCTCTGTCTGTGGGAATTCTCTCGGCAATAATACTGTAGTGGGTTGCCATGCCCTCCTCCAGATAGAAACAGTATATATTTCCTTTATTTTTTAGAAGTGTGTTACTCTTATTAAAGAATCTACCATTTTAATTTGTATAAAAAATAGTTGAAAAAATTGCTATAATATTTGGTTTAGATAACTATAATAGTTTTTGAAAAGTAATGGAATTTTTATTTTAAAGATTCTGACAATGGAGATATTAATTATGATTATGTTCATGAGTTGTCCTTGGAAATGAAGCGTCAAAAGATACAGAGGGAATTAATGAAGCTGGAACAAGAAAACATGGAGAAAAGAGAAGAAATTATTATTAAAAAGGAGGTATGCTATTTATTGAAATATGTTAGTAATTAACATCAACATGGATATTGATTGGAGAACTCATTAACTGCTTGCTACATCTCAAATTGTATTGGGATATTGATACTTCATACATGTTAATCAATTAATCTTCACATTACGCTGTTAGATAAATAGGGCATATTTTTATTATTGAACAGATAAACAAAACTGAGTTTCGGTTGCCTGGAGTCACCAACTAATGTGAAATGGGACTCGAATCTATATACACCTCATTTTTAGGCCCATGCTATCTCTATAGAGTACTTGTTTCTTTTCTAAAGAGTAGAAAGAGATAAAATATATTTGAATATAATTTGTGATTTTTCTGAGGAGATTTTGAAATTTCATAATTTTAGTTTGCTTTATTGATACTAGTGTATATAGCTGTGTGGCAGATATAGAAGGGGCTGGAGAACCTGATGCCCCCGGTGCTGAGCAGAGTTCTGTTTTAGACTGTCTGTGATGAGCTTGGACATCCTGCCCCAGCCATGCCAGCTCCTGTCAGCTCTCTCTGCAATCCTGCTGTCGCTTCCCTGTTAACAGCCATAAGCTCCAAACAAGAGCCTACAAACTGCCTATGGCGTCCCTGGTGGCTCAGATGGTCAAGAGTCTGCCTGCAAGTGCAGGAGACCTGGGTTTAGTCCCTGGATTGGGAAGATCTTCCTGGAGAAGGAAATGGCAACCCACTCGAGGATTCTTGCCTGGAGAATCCTACAGACAGAGGAGCCTGTTGGGCTACAGTCCACGGGGTCACAAAGAGTCAGACATGACTGAGCAACTTCACCTTTACTTTTGATGTTAATGTTGGGGCAGTTAACATATTGGTTAACAGTATAGGTTTAGGAGTCAGGCTGATAGCAATGTGTGGTGGCTGTCATAACACTTAATGTTTTATCTGGAGCTTGTTATTGTTGCTTTGTTGTCTGATTATAGCAACCATGATTGGTATACTTTCTGACTTACTGAATTCTTTTGAAAGGTTTCACCAGAAGTGGTTAGATCAAAGTTGTCTCCATCACCTTCTCTAAGAAAGTCTAGCAAATCTCCAAAGAGAAAATCAAGCCCTAAGTCATCATCGTCAACTAGCAAGAAAGACAGGAAGACAACTGCAGTATCTTCTCCATTGTTGGACCAACAGAGGTCAGTAGGGTGATAAATAGTGCCAGAATGAAATAGCTTTTTCTGACATGATATTCAAAAGAATTACTTAGTAGATTACAAAAGGATACTTTTAATACATTGAACATTTAATATAAGCTTTTTTATTTAAAAAAAAGTATGGAAAGTTTCCACTTAAAAGAAGATTATAGAGAACGATGAAACAAAGATCTGTACCATACCTATATATGCTTCAGAACTTTTTTTCCCTCAGAACTAAGCAGGTGTATTTCCTGCCCTTCCCCCTTGAATTTGTTGTTTATGATACTTGTGCATGTGTGTTTATACTTCCATATTGTATTATCTTACAACATATAATATTTTCATTTATTTAGTCTTAATGTAGATATAGCTTTTCTTCTGTAATTTACTGTTTTACTTGGCTTTTTTGGCAGTTTTTTACATTTACCTATGTTGATATATATAGCCATAGTTCTTTCATATTAATATTCATATATTTACTTTTTTGTTACTGAACATTTAAGTCATTTCCAGGTTTTAGTTATGACAAATTATGCACAGTGAACAACATTCTTCTTGTCTCCTGGTGTATGAAGCAGTATGAATACATTTTTTAGAATTGTTGTAGTAGCCAGTTGAAAGAATAAGGATAGACACAAATTACACTGAGGGGTTGAAAATAAGGCAGGAGATAGTTTTCCATAAAATGTCATCTGTACTCTTTAAATTTTAAATTTGATTTCAATTAAAGGGCATACACTAATTTATTATTTAAGAACAAGTCTAAACTGAAAACCTTTTCTCGATATTTGACCAGTTGGTAGATGTCTGTATGACCCCACTATGAAATTTATATTTGTTTTCCCTCTAGTTTCTGGAGGCTTTAACCCTGTTCTAGACTTCATTTACTTCTTGCCTAGTTTATTATTAATATATCATCCTACAAACTATATTTACTTTATCTAGTGTCCCATTCGCTCACACATGTAAATGCATTCATTCAGCTGCCGTAACTGTTCACTTTACAAATGTTGTAAGAGATATCTTAAAAGAATAATTCCTATTAATTTATTATGTCATTGAAAAACTCAGTAGCTTTCTATTCTATTGAATGAAATTCAGATTTTTTTAGAGGGGAATTCATATATTGATCTTCTCAGTCTTGTGCATATTTTTGTCCAGTTTTCCTCCTACACTCATCATCTTTAGTCCTTCAATGTCTAGCTCAAATTCTGTCTTTGCATTAAGATTTCTCATTTCTCCTTACTGAACATAATTTCTGCTCCCTTTGTATATCTATCAGATTTTATTTATACCTTTTGCATAATACTAACTGCTATTTCCATTATTATATTTTAGCCGTGGTGTACATGTTTTACAACTTGTATTAAATTTAAGCTTCCTGAAGACTGGCATCTTGATGGTTCACTATTGTATATTTCCATAGCACCTACTCTTCAAAGAGCTTTGCCTTATAATAAGGCACTCTGTAAAGTAGGCTTAATTCTCTCCTTTGCTCCTGGAATTGAGTAAAGGGATATGAAAGAAGTCGAACTACAGAGTGATAAGATTTAACCCATCTGTTCTTTTTCCTTTTAATTAACCAATTATATACATTCCCCTAATTCCATTTATTTCCCCCCAAAACCCAGCATACCAGAAACACTCCTTTTCATTTTCTTATCCTTGTTATTTATGAAATCTTCAGTATTTAATCTCTTCATAAAAAGTTTTGATACCTATTTAATTGGAGGGTTACTTTCATCCTGTTTTTCATGTAGTCTTCTCTAACAGTCTTACTGGTAATTCACTTATCCTTTCAATATTGAGCATGAATTATTGGGGGCTGCCCAGTTGACATTAGTGGTAAAGAACCCACCTGCCAATGCAGGAGACTTAGGAGATGCAGGTTCAATCCCCGGGTTGGGAAGATCTCTGGAGGAGGAAATGGCAACCCAGTGTTCTTGCCTAGAGAATCCCATGGACTGGAGAGCCTAGCAGGCTGCAGTCAGTGGAGTTGCAAAGAGTCAGACATCACTGAAGCAACTTAGCATGCACACATGAATAATTATATTGATTTAACTATTATATTTCTGTATTATGCGATCCTGAGTTTAAGATGCATCATTACTTTAATAATAGACATAGAAGGACCTGGAAAACAGTACATTGAAGATACAAAGAAAACACTAAATTGGATATAGCACTTCTGTAGTCATGCAGTTTACATTGCCTGGAGGGTGTCAGATCATCAACTTATAGTTTTATTGTGGATCATACGATAAACTGAAGACATTCAACAACAAATAATGTTTAGAATTTCAGTTAAAATTCAGTGGAATATTGCAACCAATGCCAGTAAGTAAACCGAGGGGGAAATCAGGTAACCTAACTCCTTGGTTTTACGTGGTTATCATATTGAAGGAACAGAGATAATCACAGACAAATTAAGACTCACACTTCTCCCTGAAAGTTAGCAGTTTTCTGTGACATTTGTTGTGAGAGATAGTCTGATACTAAGCTTTATGCTAAGATGTAAGAATGGCTTAAAATCAATAAATGTTTTATTGCTTCTGTTCATCCCTGTTTCTCAGTTTTCATTAAGAAAATTTTTCTTTATATCAGTAATTTTTTTGTACAAAGATGTCTGAAGTGTGTCAAAAGCTGTTCAAAAGAATTAAGTTTTGGGGAGAGAGAGATCGGCTCTAAAAAGTGATGGAGGTAGATAATTGAACTCTGTGCCACAAATAGGAAGTGAGCTATGTGCCCCTCAAAGGACTATCATTTGACTTAAAAAAATGTTGAAAAATCTTGCTGACTGCAGAGTGCACATGACCAGTTTTGGCTCATTCTGTTGGAAGGCACTTGCAAACTCTATCTGTGACACAACTGTTTCCCAATTATTGAATACGTATATTTTTGAAGGTATTTGAAGAAATTCTGCACTTTATTGAGTGTAGTGTTGTAATCTTGGTTGTTACGATAGCTTACTCCCAGAATGTGGATTTAACACAACCAGAAGTTTATTTCTCACTCAAGTAAGGAATGGTATTTCTGATTAAGAGGTGACTCTCCGATACATGACTTACCTGGTGGCTCAGACGGTAAAAGCGTCTACCTACAATGTGGGAGACCTGGGTTCAATCCCTGGGTTGGGAACATCTGGAGAAGGAAATGGCAACCCACTCCAGTATTCTTGCCTGGAAAATCCCATGGACGGTGGAACCTGGTAGGCTATAGTCCATGGGGTCGCAAAGAGTTGGACACGACTGAGTGACTTTCACTTCTCCTATACATGGATAGAGTAACTAAGCTCCTTCTGACTGTGGCTTCACTTCTCTATATTATTGAGGACCAAAAAATGAAATATGCAAAGCAAAAAAGAGTATTGCACTTATTTAGTTATATAGTTTATAATTACCTGGAATATGAGAGACTTTTTTATTAATTAGGTGTGGAAGTGGTATACATCACTTCCTCTTATGTTCTTTTGGCCAGAACTTGGTCATTTGGTTACATCTGACTTTATAACTGTCTATAGAGTATCATTCAACAGTATGGTCAGGAGAAAAGTTTAGTGAATACCTAGTTAGTCTCTGTCACAGGCAGTAATGTGAAAATACAGTTTGTGTCAAGAATTCCTCTATCATTTTGAAATGATAATGGTTGAAAATGGTTTTTTAGTAATGTTGATATTATCTGTATCAACTATTGATTAGTGTGTCTTTTTTAATTGGAAGACAGTTACTTTACAATGTTTTGGTTTCTGCTATACAACAACTCAATCAGCTGTAAGTATACATGTCCCCTCCCTCTTCCGCTTCGCTCCCCCACCCCCAGTCTGTCTTTTAAATGGAAAAGACATTTATCACTTACCTGTTAAATACATTAAAGGTCTCAGTCATCTCATAAATATGCAGTGAGGTAATGTAGATCTAATAATGGTTCTTGGCAGAAGACAAAGATGAAAAGCAGATCTGGTCATATTTTAATAATTTCTGACTTGCTGAATGGTTTACCCTATCTGTGATAATAAGTAGGGAGAAAGACTAAGGCAAATTTTCTGAATGCCCACTCTGAGTTGCTTTTTTTATCTGTTTTTAGTCTTACCAGCAATTTTGAGGAAGATACTACCTGTTACTTTTTTAGTTAGCTAAGGAATCTTGGGCTAGAGAACTCAAGGTCACAGGTAGTAAGTTCTAGGATTTTGGCTTAGGTCATAATTTATAAATATCAATAGGTAGTGAAATAAGTAGCTAGTGAAAACTTTCCAGATACCGGAAAAGAAAGGACTCCTTTAAAACTCAGTACCAGACTGAACCTTCCATGTTGCAGAAAATAGGAATGAATTGAAACAATAAATTAATTCAGAATTTTAGTATGATTTGAGAGGATATTGCATTGGTCAACTGTTGAGAGCAGTTGATCGTGAAAAAAAGCAGTCTGTGAACAAGGATATTTTGGAATGAAAATGATTTTTCTACTGGAAATAACAGAATAATGAGATTGCCAAATTTAGAATTAAAAGAAAACTTACTGAATTTGAAAACACATTTAAGATACTGGAATGCAAAAGGAGAGATGGGAATAATGAAAGATAATGGAGGAGTGACCTAGGAGATATGCAGTAACTGCATTAAAGCAAACTAGAGAGCCCCAGGTCCTGTGGAGAATTGATGGAATAAGAATAGGAAGAACAATGAGCAAAACACTTAAGGTTTCAGATTGAAGCAGCACACTGAGTTCTGGAAAGGTTAAACAAGAAAACCTAGATTTATCTTGGTGAGATTTTTAATTTCCAAAGAGTAATGTTTTATAAGCACACCAGCGGAAAAGCTGAAAAACCTGCATGGGAAAAGTAATAGACTCTCTTTGGACTTTTCATCCAAAACACTAAACACTGCAAGATATTGTAACAGTATTTATAGAGCTCTGAGGGAAAAAGATACCATTCTGAAATGCTCTAGTATTCAGTCAAACAACTGTCGAGGTATGAAGACAATTTGTAATGTGTAAGGGCTCAGAGTTATAGCACTTAGTCAGTTCCAGATAGATTAACGCCATGAAAGACAAAATTCTAGAATTTAAAGGATCATCTCTGTAGTCCTAAGAGTTGGAAAAACATTTAAATGAATGTTTAATATATAAAACAAAGATTTAAATAAATGTTTACTAACAATGCTTAGGGTTTCATTTACACTTGATGTAATTGTTCTTATAATGCTGAAAACATGGAAGCCACCTAGAAACTTTATCAATGTGAAATTGTTTATAAAGAAGTTACAGAGCATATCTATTAGGGGAATTCTGTACAGTCCATAAGAATAATTATAAGAATCCACTTTTTGTTATAGAAATATACCAATACTGTATGTAGTACAAACAATTTTTCAAAAGCATTGCTTTATGACTGTGCATATGGGGGTAGGCAGGGAAGAAAAAAGGAAAAGACATGGGAAAAGTGTGGATGTTTATCCATGGTGTTACTATCGGCTGTCCTTGGGTAATGAATGGAATTGTAGGTGATTTTTACTTTCCTATCTACTTTTTTATAATAAGCTTAAAATTTTTTCAGTTCTTTTTTTTTTAATGACATTTTCTTTCCTAAATCTCTTCCTATTCTACCTCTATCTTTTCTCAGAAATCTACCTTTTAAAATTACATAATAAGCACTGTTAATGAAATAGGTAGTAAGTAAATCTTTGCTCATTTCTCTGGTTTTTTTTTGTTGGGGGGATATTGATTACTAGTATATAAAATAGTAAATGGCAAGTTATTGAAAAGAATGCTAACCATTCTTTAATTGTGCTTTGTTAAAATTAAAAAAAAAAATACTTATTTCACCTTCTAAAAGTCTTTAGACTTCTGACAGCTTTGTGTTAACTTTAGGAATTCAAAAAGCAACCAAAGTAAGAAGAAAGGACCTCGAACTCCTAGCCCACCCCCTCCTATACAGGAAGATATTGCTCTGGGGAAAAAATACAAAGAAAAATATAAAGTGAAAGACAGGATAGAGGAAAAACCAAGAGATGGAAAGGACAGAGGACGAGATTTTGAAAGACAAAGAGAAAAAAGAGACAAGCCAAGGTAAGTAGGATTTTTAATAATCTTACTTTCTTAAAATCCGTAATACTGTTCAGAAGCTTTTAGGCATTACTATCCTGGATTTTTTAGTGTTTTTAAACTCTACCTAATAATTACCATATTGAAGTATGACTACTTCAATAAATGTTAATAACATAACAAATCATTATTATCTAAGAAACATAAAATTTCTAATTTTACCCACTTTTAAATGTTCAGTATTGTTTTATATATGCGTGTGTGTGTGTATATATATATATTTTTTCCACAGTGTCATGAAGCAGATTTCCAAAACTTATAAATCTGAAACTCTGTACCCCTAAAACAACCTATCCCCTACTCCCCAGTAACCACTATTCTGTCTGTTTCTATGAATTTGACTCCTTTAGATACCTCATATAAATGGAATCACTTTGTCTCTTTGTGACTGGCTTATTTTACTTAGCACTAGGTCTTCAAGGTTTACCCATGCTGTGCACATAACAGGATTGCTTTCCTTTTTAAGGGTGAATAATATTCCAGCATCTATATGCCATATTTTGTTTATCCACTTACTTGTCAGTGAACATACAGGCTGCTTCCACCTCTTGGCTATTGTAAATAGTGCTGTTATGAATATGGGTGTGTGAACATCTCTTTAAGACCCTTCTTTCAATTCTTTTGGACATAAACTCAGAAATGAGATTGCCAGATCATATGTGGTTTCATTTCATTTTTAAATTTTGGAGAAACTTTGATACTGTTTTTCATACCAGCTGCACCACTTGCAGTCCCATTAAGAGTGTTAAAAGAGTTTGAGTTTCTTCACATTCTCATCAACACTTATTGTTTTCTGTGTTTTGGATAGCAGTCATCCTGACTGGTGTGAGATGATACTGTGATTTTGATTTGTATTTTGCTAATAACTGGTGATATGGAGCATCTTTTCATTGGTTTCCAGCCGCTTGTATGTCATCTTTGGAGTGATGTCTGTTTAAAGTCCTTTATGCATTTTTAAATTGAGTTAATTTGATTTTCTTGTTGAATTATAGAAATCCATTATATATTCTGGATGTTAACTCCTTATCATGATTTACATGATATTTTACATGTAAAAATACATGATTTACAGGTATTTTCTCCCTTTTCATAGGTGGCCTATTCATTCTCTTGGTGGTGTTTTTTTGATGCACAGAAGTTGTTAAAGTATGATGTGTCCTATTTGTTGATTTTGGTTTTGTTGCCTGTGCTTTTGGTATCAGAGCTAAGACATCATTGCCAACTCCAGTGTCATAAACACTTTCCTCTATGTTTTCTTGTAGGAGTTTTATAGTTTTAGACCTTACATCTAAATCTTTAATACCTTTTAAGTTAATTTTTTGTATATGGTGTAAGATAAGGTTCTCACTCCATTTTTTGTGTGTAGAAAACCACACCTCCCAGCACTGTTTTTTGAAGGAACTTTTCCTTCCCTCATTTAGTGTTTTTGGTGCCCTTGAAGATCATTTGACCATGTATCTGGAACTCATATATGGAACAAATGTATCTCACTCATTTAGGTGAATGTTTGTTTTTTTTTCCTGTTCCCACTTGTGATGTGAAAGAACCAGAATGATTCTGTCAGCTCTTGCTAGGATCTCGCAACATTATGTCTTAGTGGAGCAATAAGAATTGGTTAACTGGAACATCCATAATTCTTGAATATTCTTTCCTAAAATATACTGTCTATCTTTCTCAATCTGATAGGTTTGTTTTTGAAAATGACATGTAAATTGGTTATAAATCATGTTAAATGTTCTTGCTGAAGTCTTCATTCTTCTCTAATGGTTCTTAGTGATCTTATTTTGTTATTTTGACCCAGAAATCTGTGAGAGGTGATTCTTATGTCCCTGAGGAGTTTGCCATTGAAATGGTTAAGACACTTTGTATTATGAGGAATTGAAGAATCGAAGTTTGATTCTTTGTTTTCCATTTTTTTCTCCCTGATCGTTTCTATCAGAAGTAATAAGGTATGCCTAGGAGTCACCTGTTGCTCTCTGAACTTGGTTTATTTCTTCTGTGTAAGGAAACTAAGCCGCAGATAACTGAAGGACTGCATGGGTTGCCCTCTTGGCACTGGAGTCCTAAAGCCTGAAACCCCTAAAGGGGTCCAGTTTAACTTTGATGTTTGACAAGGTTGAAAGGGGCCACTTTAAGTTAGGAGAAACTGATTTGATTTGTAGGTTTTTGTTTATTTTTAAGGCAGATTTTTTAACTTATCTCCATTCAGTTCAGCTCAGTTGTGTCCAAATCTTTGTGAACCCATGAACTGTAGCATGTCAGGCTTCCCTGTCCATCACCAATTCCCGAAGCTTGCTCAAACTCATGTCCATCCAGTTGGTAATGCCTTCTAACCATCTCATCCTCTGTCATCCCCTTCTCCTACTGCATTCAATCTTTCCCAGCATCAGGGTCTTTTCCAATAAGTCAGTTCTTTACATTGGGTGGCCAAACTCCAAACATTGGAGTTTCAACTTCAGCATTAGTCCTTCCAATGAGTATTCAGTACTGATTTCTTTAGGATGTTCTGGCTGGATCTCCTTGCAGTTCAAGGGACCCTGAAGAGTCTTCTCCAACACCACAGTTCAAAAGCATCAATTCTCCAGTGCTCAGCTTTCTTTATAGTCCAACTCTCACATCCAGACATGACTACTGGAAAAACCATAGCTTTGACTAGATAGACCTTTGTCAGCAAAGTAATGTCTGCTTTGTAATATGCTGTCTAGGTTGGCCATAGCTTTTCTTCCAAGGAGCAAGAGTCTTTTAATTTCATGGCTGCAGTCACCACCATCTGATTTTGAAGCCCCCAAAAATTAACTGTTTCCATTGTTTGCCATGAAGTGATGGAACTGGATGCCATGACCTTAATTTTCTGAACATTGAGTTTTAAGCCAACTTTTCACTCTCCTCTTTCACTTTCATAAGGAATTAATTAATCTAAAGCCAAACTGTGTATTTAAGAATCTTTGTCTTTGCTTTCAGATTCTAGGATATATGGTGAAAGGTTAGTATCTAAATTCCTTTTGGAGAAAATTGTACTTCAAAATTAATTTTGTTGTTATAATGGGCTTATTGGGAGTTTTTTGGTTATCAGAGTGTGCTGGGCTTAAGTGAAAGTATGCTGATACATTTATTCATTCAGTTGTTACTGACTTCCTAGTGTGTGGGGGGCACTGTTTTAAAAGATACTGATGCAGCAGGGAGCTAAATGTTGGCCAAAGCTTTGTTACTACAGGTGGAAGTAATATAGTAATCATGTGTGTGTAAAGTAACATCTTTGCACATGTAGGTTTTTTGTTTTTTGTTTTCCTTTCAAGTGAAGGAGACTTACTAGGCCTGTTGGATTTAGGGGATCACTTACATTTCTTAAAGGGTGGTCCAAATGTATGTGCGCACTCATGAGACAGATGATGCCACAAAGCCACATGATTCTATGCCTTTTAGGTCCTTCTCCCTGTCTTCTGTGTCTCAGTTAGTTCTTCAACTTTCTATATCAGGGGTGACCAACCTGGATTTTAGGGTCTGATTTGTGAGTTAGAATTTGCCTGTGTGTGTTTTGGTGAGGGGGAGTATGTCCATAGCCTTCGAAAAGTTTTTTTAGAATTACGAATCATTCTTTAGGCCTTTGCCACTAATCTGGCATTGAGAATTCAAGTGCTTTCCTCCGAAATCTTCATTGTCCATGTCAATCTTGTTAAGAATATACTCTGTTCCCAGAATATTTTGTTAATTTGAGTCACACTAAATTCTGTCATGTAGTTGTTTTTGAAGCAAATAATGTCCAGGCCACTGTTCTGTATCAGTGTCATCCAATTTGACTGGTAGACTTTATTCAACAGAGATTTATTTATGCAATATTGATCAAAAACTGAATACCACTTGTTTATCCGAGGGGAATAAAAAAGCCTTATGAATTTATTACTCTGCTTTTAGAGAATATAGCAATTTCCCATAGTATTTTTTAAAATAAACTTTCTGTGATCTGTTCTATACAGAAAATAGCAAAATCTTGATTACTTGGAACCTAACTAAGTCATTTTTATTCTGTAATTTATTTTAGAAGAGGTGTAGCTCACAGGAAAATTAAGTTTGAGTTAGTTATTTAACCAGGAAATCACTTGCTAAGGGAATATTTTGTATCATTATTTCTAACCTACTGTATCTAGATAATCCTTAACTGGATATTTTCAGTGGACTTGTAATATCATCTTTATCAATGAAAATATTCTATATACTTTGCTGAATCTTAAATGTGAGGCAGTATATTAGTGTAGTTTAAGAACAAGGGATTAAGCAAACACAAAAACTTTATGGATAGTACTTAACCAGAAAAGTTAGCTAACTATTGCATATAGTTTATTCAGATGGTTAAATATAGTTTATGATGGTTAATATGCTTTAATCAGAATACTAGGTTGCAGAATTTTTTGGTTTAATAAGATAATGTTAAGAGCATAGTAAGTTATATTTTTTAAAAATCACTTTATTGTAATTACCTGAATATGTCTTGATAGGAATATAAATACCTGCATGAGTCTTACCCATATATTTTAAAGATAGGTGTGATCATTCAGAACTTGTTGGCTGACATCACCTTAGTAAAATAAACAGCTTACCACCAAATTGATGGTCTTATTTTCGTTCAGTGATTGTGCGTATCTGAATAATTAAAAACCGAATGGTTCAGACCTTTGACAAAGACTGTTACATATTGGATTAATTCTTTGATTTATTCAGTATCTACCGTTCATAGTGTGAACTGGTGCATCTTATTCTGTGGCCATTAAGGACAGGTCAGGGAGGAATCCATGGGTGCACTCAATAAACATTTCTATAGACTGAACTGATAGGTTTCTTGAGTAAGTGTATACTAATGTTACTCAGTTATATAGAGAAGATGGAAAAATGTTACAGTAACATTATTATGGAGCATTTCACACACATAAAAGTAGACAGTAGTATAATGATCCTCATATCCATAGTTT